GGAGGGAGATGGGAATACCAAATTTTTTCATACCCTAGTAAATGGAAGGAAGAGGAAGAATTTTATGGGGAGGCTAGAATGGAATGGGGAAGTGATTACAAGTGAGGAGGAGGAGAGAGAGAGAGAGAGAGAGAGAAGAACTTCCTGACCTCGATTGGCTTCTAGGGAATAGAGTTTTGATGGATCAACTAGAAAAGAATTTTGAGGTCCAAGAAGTAAAAATGTTGTTTTTTCAATGGAAAGATCTAAAGCCCCGAACCCAGATGATTTCACGATGGCCTTTTACAAAGATTGTTGGGATATTATAGGTGGTGATTTAATGGAGGTCTTCTCGGAATTCTTTGAGAGAGGAAAGATAAATTTGGGTGCCAATGCTACTTTCATAGCTCTGATTCCTAAAAAGGTAAATGCAAACCACCCAAAGGATTTTACGCCCATAAGCCTAATTGGTAGTATGTATAAGGTAATCTCAAAGGTTTTGGCAGAAAGAATCAAAAAGGTACTATCATCCTTGATTTCTTTGAACCAAGGAGCATTTGTGTTAGGAAGACAAATTATTGATCAAATCCTTATTGCCAATAAATGTGTGGATTACAGAAAAAGACAAAGAGAAAAGGGTCTGATTTGCAAATTGGACTTGGAGAAGGCCTATGATTTGGTGGACTGGGGTTTTTTTACAGGAAGTATTGAGAATTAGAGGATTTGAAGAGAGGTGGTGCAATTGGGTTAAGGGTTGTATCTCTTCATGCCACTATTCCATTTTGGTAAATGGGGTAGCCAAGGATTTATTCTCGGCAAAGAGAAGTTTAAGACAAGGGGACCCTCTTTCCCCTTTCCTTTTCACCTTAATAGTTGATGTTTTGAGTGTTCAGATTACTAGAGCCGATGCTAGTAATTTGCTTAAAGGGTGGAGAGTAGGAAGGGAGGGAATAGTTGTAACCCACCTTCAATTTTCTGATGACTTGACTCTTTTTTGTGAAGGATATTCGAAGGAGTTGGAAAATTTAAAGGTCTTGGTAGAGAATTTTGAAAAGGTCTCCAACTTGAGAGTAAATCAGAATAAAAGTTGTGTAGCTGGAATTAATAAGCAAGAAGCAAAGGTGGCATCTTTAGCTAGATCTCTAGATTGTAAGGTAAGTGATTGGCCTCTTAAGTATTTAGGCTTACCTTTGGGAGGAACCGAGGTCAGATAGCTTCTGGTACACCCTGTTCTGGAAATATTTTCAAAGAGACTAGTAGGATGGAAAAGGAACTACATCTCTTTAAGGGGTAGAATCAGTCTAATTAAGTCAACACTAGGAAATTTGCCATTGTATTTTTTGTCTACCTTCAAGTTGCCTATTAAGATTGCAAACCAGATTGGGAAAAAAAAATAATGAGAGATTTTCTATGGGAACCTGGTGATTCTAAAAAGGATCATAGGGTAAAATGGGAAGTGGTGTCTAGAAAGAAAGACAAAGGGGGCTTAGGGATTGGAAATATCAGAATAAGAAACACAGCTTTGTTGGGCAAATGGTTATGGAGGTTTCCTAAGGAGCAAGAAAGTTTATGGCACAAGGTGATACGAGTATTATTCATCAAAAAAAAAGGCGATAAGAAGTATTCATGGAATAGCAACAAATGGATGGGATGCTTGACTCGACCCAAGGGCTTCGCGCTTTCCCCCGTGGAAAGATATTGCTAGTATCCTGCCTGTTTTCTCTCCTTTCATTAGGTATGATGCTTGCGTGGGTAATAAGACTCTTTTTTGGGAGGACTTGTGGATTGGGGAATCTCTACTTAAGGATAGGTTCCCATACCTATTTCCCTTTCTTTGAAAAAAGTTTCAAATTATCACTTCTTTTCGTGTTTCTCGGGATTCTTGGGATCTAGGACCAAGGAGAGGATTGAGGGACTCAGAAGTGGGATTGGCAAATGATCTTTTTTCTCTTCTAAACTCAATTTTTCTAGACCACTCATGTCTTGATAGTAGAATTTGGACCGAAACTTCTTCAGGTAGCTTTTTTTTGTCTTCGTTTTTCTATGCTATGGTCCTTCCTTCTAACCCGATCACCTCCTTTCCTGTTAAAGAAGTTTAGAGCGCTCCAGTACCCCTAAAGGTAAGGGATTTTTGTTGGGAAGTGGTTCTCCAAAAAATTAATACATTGGAAATGCTTCTAAGAAAGAGGCCAAATTGGTGCTTGTCCCCTCATGTCTGTAGCCTTTGCTTGAGGAATGGTGAGACGGTGAATCACCTATTAATTTCTTGTCCTTTTAGTGCTCTTATTTGGGATTGGTTCTCCTCTCTCTTTGATTGCAGGTGGACTTCCCCCTCAAGCACAGTGGAATTATTTGATCCTAGCTTTTTCCAACAACCAAAAATAAAGGAAGGATGATGTGGAGAACGAGGACAACTATCTTGTGGGCAGTGTGGGAAGAGAGAAATAACAGGATTTTACAAGGGAAAGAAAAATCAGCTCTAGAAGTTATAGAAAGGATCACCATCAAGGCAGTACATTGGCTGAAAACTCTTGGCTTGTTCAAGGATGTCTCCATAGATGATTCGATTAGAGGCTGGAGTATTTTAGCAAGGTCTTCTACTTCATCACCTACCATACAAGAAGTTTGGTCCCCTCCTTTGCAGTGTAATGTCAAACTGAACTTTGATGGCAGTTCTGTTGGGAACCCTGTACTTTCTGGAATAGGGGGTGTGTTTAGAGATGCAGGAGGAAAAATCCCAGCTATGTATTCTGGTCCAATAGATTTGGGGGACTCGCTTACAGCTGAAGTGTTGGCCCTCCTCCAGGGGCTCAGATTGGCCAAGCAATTGGGCTTTCGACAGCTAGAGGTGGAGGGAGATTCAAAATTAGTAGTAGGTTGGCTGCAATCAAATAGTTTGGGAACGTGGTTCCTTAGACAACCTGTAAGGGAATTATTATTATGCCTCACAAGGGAGCTGGGTGCACAGGTTTCTTGGTCTAGAAGTCAGCAAATGCTTTAGCTAACAACCTAGCACAGCAAGGGGTGAATTGGGAGGTTTTGTTTTGGGTAGTGTTGTAAGTTGTTTTTTGTTCAGGGGTCACCTTTCACTTTAGTAGGTGACAGTTGTACTTCAAGATTTTTAGCTAATGAAAGTTATCGTTTCCTATCAAACAAAAAAAAATGGAGTTAACATTAAGATTACAAGACATATCAAAGTAAGTACAAGCTAAAGTTACTACCAACTAGCTTTCTTTACAAGGATGAATTAGTGGTAAGGCAATAGTTCTATGTCATAGTGGGATTGATCCCTAGTTCTTTTATTTCATGTTCTATTTTTATTTACATCATTTCAAGCACTTGTATGTCTTTTTTCTGATAGTAAGGGAAATTTTCATTAACCAAAAATAAAAACAAGTACAACATTTTGTGAAGAGCACCACAAAGAATACAAGCATGGTCCATAACAAAATAGACAATCCCCCAAGGCCAACATTCTTAAGAAAAAAGGTTGCAACAATCCAAAGTTGCCCACAGATTAACCCCAAATCCTTGGCAGTCTAGGTTGTACTTTTTTAGATGAGATTGTTGTATTTATCATGGACTTCCCTTGTGATCCCCGTTGAGTATATTTTAGAAGATAAAAGAATTGCAGGTATATATATCTGACAACAAAATTTGTATTTTGAAAAAAGAAAGGGGGCGAAAGAAAAATACAATGACTAATGTCCTTGAGCTCACTGGTTAGTGACAATTGTTATAATCAGAGCTTGGGCCACTGCAATAGTATGGCAGAACAGAAATAGGAAATTTAAGAAAAGTTTAGGCTAGAGGCCCTAGATCCCTCCTCACCTTGAGCATCATATTAGAATTAAAAGTGACTCGTAATCTTTTCTTCTATTGTTCATGGTAAGAAATCATATTCCATATGGGCCAAAAATATGAATTTTAAGGCAAGGAGGCATCTTGATTATACAGGATCTATATCTTGCAACAGGTTGGACAATTAAGAGGCTTGGTACCGACCACTAGACAGGTCCAAGATAAGCAATGGTCACATAAATGTAAAAAACCTTTAACCATCACATATTTAGAATCTTCTTTCATTTAATATACAAGGGGCCTAACCAATGGTGGATCTTGACCTCATGCGACATGTGGCAAGGTATAAGTAGGCATGGGTCTTGTGTTCCAAACCCAAGGTTTATCCTTCAGGAAAACAAGTAATCGGGATAACACTAAAAATCCAGACTATATTTTATTGAGAAACTTCAGAAAAGAGCATTTCAAAAATCAAGATTCAGAATCAATCTGACTAAAATGGAAGTTGCACAACTCCAGAAGCAATGAAAAAATATCCCATCAAATTATTGAGAAACAACAAAAAATAACATTTAATAACCGAATGAAATTCAAAAGAACAGTATTTGGAAACAATATAAATGTTAATTCACTTAAAAATGGCATTTAAATGCTTTACTAAAACAATCTGCAATCAACACAATTGCAGAAGGTGATATAATGATGCCTCCTACTATAGCACTCTCCTGAAATGCAGGCTCATCAAAGTAAACCAGTTTCTCCTGGTCACATCATATGTTTCCTCTATACAAAACTAAATTTAATCATTGCAAGACACAGCAGCAACACTTTAAACTGAAAATCACACCCAAACAAAATTTCTAAATGTCAATACCAAAAACAAAAGGCTCTAAGCAAACAAACACACGAGTACAAGAAAATTAGATATCAAATGAATCAAATATGAATCTAACCGCTACCCCTATACCATGCAGAGAGCAAAACACAACCAAAGAACACAAATTACTGAAAAACAGCAATCAATCATTATAAAACAAACATGCAAAAAAAACATAGAATTAAAAAAAAAACGACGGTTAAAATAACGATTAACTCAGACTCCTGACCTAACGATCTAAATTCCCAAATCACAGGTAGTTTCAGGAGATTCTCGAAATCAATGGCCAAAAATTAACAAAAAAAAGTAGCATCCAACACTGAAACCGAAGAAAAATGATTACCAGATGATTGAGAAGCTTGGGATTCTCTTGCTCGATCGGGAGGAGATGGATGGAACAAGGAGATATCGATGCTCGTTCTCTCTATTTGTAAAGGCAACGCATTGGCTTACCAATCAATGTTGGTATGGGAAATGGATCCATATTCGTGGCGCTTCTTTTTTGCAAGCAGCAAAAAGTGCTGAGAAAATTAAATGGAAAGAATGGATTTGTCTCCTTGTTATGCTACACGTGGGAGTGGGACCCACTATGTATGTATTATTTAACTTGGTGGGACCTTCATTTTGTGGGACATCTCCATCTATTGGATCGGACGAACTCTGATTTGAAACGATGTTGTCTCAACAACCTCAGCCGTCCAAGGAGTAGTAAGGACAATGAGAACCGTTGGATGCATCAGCATAGAAAGAACTGTCATAAGTCAGGTCTACCCGATAGAACCGAACTGATCGAACCAATTCTACCGGATATGGTCTATTGTTCCCGACAAATAAATAGATTGAGACTCCCGATTACTACTTGGGGTGAGACCGGTTTGCTGTTTCGAACCGATTTATATGGAGATCTCTTGGTTTTTCTTGCAATTGTTGTTATATAATTTTTGTCTAAAAGGGTAAATTTTGTTGGAGAAGGTGGCCAAACATCATGTGAAGTTGGTGAGAGCTAGACAACTGAGATGGTCCATGACCCAAGCACACGACGAAAGTAAGCAGCCCCAAGATGCTTGTTAGGGGAGGAGCATTCCAATGCTCAAGTCAATTAAAAGAAAGTAGTGATCATTTAGGCCGAGCTAGTGAGGCTAAGCTGGTTGTAGTCATATGAGCTAAAGAGCTCATACATGGGCAAGAGAGCAATGTAAAGAACTTGAGAGAGTGTAGAGAGTGTTAGCCAAAAATGTACCAAGAAGAGTCTCACCTTGGGCACCGTGCCCTTATATACCTGTCAGGGAGGAGTTCAGATCGGTGCCCCACAACGCTGTCCCATAGTACATCTCCGCCGTGTGTTGGGAACATCTCCTGATGATAACATCATCAATTTTGATACTATTATTAGGAGATATTCCTAATACATGACAGAGATGTTCTGTGAGACGTTGCCAGGCACTCCATGTGGGGTGCAGATGTGAACTCATCAGGGGAGTGTCATTGTGTTCATCGCTTATGGGGCACTTGTTAGCTTCTGAGGTAATCAGCAATCGAGGTTAAAAGGGTGTGCAGTACGCCAGTACCATATACATTCCACGCTACAAAGCTCGGGGTCATTAGTAGATGTATCAGGGGAGTGTCATTGTGCTGGACTACCATTCGGGCCTGGGTTGGCCATGCCTGCCTGGCTCAAAAGGGAAGTCAGCATGGCCCATTGCATGAGATCAAGTGAGCCTCTATAGTGCCAAGTTGAGGGTGGCATGATTCTTTTAGAAAAATTGAAAAAAAAAATATTGAAAAAGTTAAAAAGAATTAACAAGATAGACAAGAGATTTAAAAAAAAAAAATTATTCTATATGAATTTTATTGTATACAATTGCTTACGTATGAAATAAACAATGACTACACGTAGAAGTTGTTAATCTAGGTGAACTAAAATGGCTCAATGACTACACACAGAAGTCGGAGGCTCAAAGGTGATTCTCAAGGAGGAGCACTTAATGCTCAGGTCAATCAAGAGAAAGTAGTGATTGACTAGGCCAAGTTGGTCATAGTTGTACAAACTAAAGAGCCTAAGTAGGCAAGAGAGCAATGTAAAGAGATTGAGAGTTGAGAATTGGTCATAGCGATACGACGAATCAGCCCCACAAGACTGCCCCCCACACAATACATCCCTTCCATGTATTATTAGGAACATCTCCCGATGATGATACCATCATTTCTAGTATTATCATCGGGAGATGTTCCCAATATACAATGGGAATGTGCTGTGGGACGTTGTGGGAACAGTTTTGTGGGGTGCTAATTTGAACTCATACGTTAAGTTCGAAATCATTATTGGCGGGTTTCATTTGGTGTTCGTAATGTGTCACTATTTCGCCCGAGGGTTGTGGCATGCACCAATTTTAGCTTTGGGGGCATATGAGGGTGTGCCACATCACTATTCTTTAACTTGTCCACTCTGGACATGTGGTAGTCTTTGACTCATCCAAGTGTCAATTTGTCAGGTTTCCATGTAGTAGTTCAACCTGGGCCAGAATTCCATCAACTTGTTTTTATCAAAAAATGAAGTTTTAAGTTGTTACTATGACATGTAATTATAGACCTCAAGTATAATTGATTTAATGGGATCACACCTGATTTTCCCAATTATTAATTGATTTGGTTCTAATTTTGTCTTATCGAACCAATTGATAATCAGTTAAGAACTGATCCACCTTATCCCAAACCAGACACGACCCATTGGCAACTCTAATTAGACAATTGAGGGTCAAATAGATTGGCAATTTGGCATGTATTTGGCCCTGATAGTATCTAAAGCCAATGTCATTAATTGGGATTTGTTTTAAGTGGATCCATGCATGGATTGATAGAAGAGTAATGCCAAGGATATGACACGAGTTTGTTTTCTTACCTTGTAAATAGGGGGTTCAAGTGCTCAACTTATGTTGGGCTGACCTAAATTCAACCTGACTTTTTGGGTTGCTTTGGTCAGATTAGGTTGGATTGGGTTGAAATTAATGTTAGGATTAAAAAGTATGAACCCAATCTAACTTCAGGTTGGGTTAGAGTGCCAGATTGGCCCATGGGTTGGATTAGGTTGAATAGGGTCGAGATTAGGGTTAGGATGAAAAAATATGAACCCAATTAACTTTAGGTTGGATTGGAGTTGAGGGCTTTAGGCCTAGGCCAATTCATCCCAATTTGAATTAGACTAGTTTTCATATTTGTATAAATATTATATAAATATGCATGCATGCATGAATGTATGCAATCATGTTTTCATGAATGCACGTATTTATATACATGTATCAACAATTTCTAATTTTAAGTTTAAAAGCAAAAATCTCTTAGTGCTATATAATTATGGTGTAAAAAACTTTATCATTGTACAAATGATGAATGCTAAAACCCATGAATCTTAATCCCCTAATTTCAAGTATAAGAAACAGAAAAAACATCAGCAAAATGAAGAAAAAATCAGGTCTAGCCAAACCCAATTAAAAAAAAAAAGTTGGGTTGAATTAAGATTAAGATTAGGAGTTCAGTAACTCGATTAGGGTTAGGGTTGATCTCAACCAGAACTAACCCAACCCGATTTGCACCCTTAGCTACAAATAGGACTGTAAATGGGACGAGTCTAGTTTGGAACAGGGTGTATTAGTTCCATCTAACCCAATTAGACATGATTAAACTTGGCATCACTAATTATCAACTTAAAACATGATTTTAAAATATTATACATTTAAACTGTTTATATGTTAAAATGTGCTTTTAACCATAACCATCATATATCATATTTAATTATTTATGAGATCTACCCATTTAAATACAAAATATAATAAAAATTATATAAAAAATCAAGAGATTCTTATTACCTAAATAATCAATTTGGGTTTGAATTGGTTCGGAACAGAAAGAACAAGTCCCAACCCAATTATTAATCAGGCAAAACCATAGAACCAGAACCGCTGTAATCAGTTTAGTTCTATCAGGTGGACCAAACCATTGACATCCATGTTTACAAATGCACCATAATATATATATATATTATATTTTTGTAATTTGAATTTTATATTATTTATATTGTTTTATATTTTTATATTAATGATAAAAATAGTTGAAAAAAGCGCTTGTGTTTTTTGCTTTTCTTTATATAGACTGTTTGTTTCTTTTTTTCTTGTTAATTTTTTAGTTTTGCATACCTATGGGTAATGAAATCAGATTGAATCAGAATTGGATATCTGAGATCATTACCAAATTCAAATTTGAATTGATCTTTGTGAAATCTATATCATCGGATGGGATATATGATTTACATTATTGGATCGAATTTGGATGCATTTACAACTCTATGACAGATGGGTCATGGGCAACATGAGATATGGTGGCGTCAATTGGATTATTCCGTTTCTTGTGTCACATGTGGATTGATAAAGCGTAAAGAAGAGAAGAATATTGTTTTATATTTCTTTTATAAAATATATTGATGAAAAATATCTTAGCCATGAATTCTGGACTCTTTGGTTGGAATCTCTTATTGAATGTTTTGTAATCTGTATGATTGTATCTTCATCCCTCACTCTCCTATCAAGACGGGATAGGGATGGCAATGGGTTTGCTCCAATTTGAACCCGACCCAAAGCATTCTTAACCCGGACTTAAACTAACCTGACCTGACCTGGCTACACAGAAAGCGAATACCAACAAACTTGACCCATTTCTGTATGTTTAATGCTTAACCAATCTTACATTTACAAATATTTCAATGATGCCATGTCCATGAATTGGGTTTACCATGGGTCTTTCTGAACCCAAACCTGACAGGATCGGGCTTTCGCGGAGGGCTTACCTTCCGGTTTGTGGGCCCCTTTTTCTATGAGTGGGCCCTGCTCTATTAGATCATAAGAACTTCCCAAAATGGGTGTAGGCATATTCGCATCCTGAAAGAATAAGTATATTAGAATGAAGACGAGAACATGTGAAAGGAAATGAAGAATAAGGAAAGTTTATCTTCTTTCTTTTTTTCTTTTTTCTTTTTTTTTTCCTTCTTCCTTCAAGTCTGAACCATTATAATTGTCTACTAGCGGTGACCGGCCCGTGCAATAGACGAGTTTGGTTTTACTCAACAATGTAAAATTGCTTTTAGGGATGACAATTTTTCTATTTCATTGATTCCGGGGCTGATTGTGGATGATTTTTCCCTGCGGTGATAAAAATTTGGGGATGGGGAGAGCATTCGCTACCCCTTGGGTCCCCAATTCTCACCCCATGGGGATCCCCGTTTATGTTGATTGTTTGTGTTTTTTCTTATGAATTGGTTAATGAATTTGTCTTTTTCTAAATATGATTGAATTCCTGGGTCCATTTTAATAGGATTATAACTATTTTTTTTCTGGATGAAATAGAAATAAAATATAAAGTGAATTTGATATCATAAAATGATAGGAGTGGTTATCCTTGTGGGGATGGGGAAACCCTGGAGAAAGGAGAGGAATAGGTTTTTTTGCAGGGACTGCCTCATCCCGTTGCCATTCCT